TACATGCAAATGTCCCAATGTGTATCATATGATATTATTTTGTATGTACAGAACTGCATACAAATGGCATCACATAGTATTTTCTTATTCTATCATATTTTTATATATCGCAATGTCTTTATCCATTCTGCCAGTTAGGGACATTTAGGCTATTTCCAGTTTTTCCTGGAATGAACATCCTTGTACACATTTACCAGAATGTGGAAGCTTCTCTAGAGGATCTTAGTAGATGTGGAATTACTGACTTTCAGGAATTTTATATCTTTACCTTAACTAAAGATGGCCAAGTCACTCCCCCAAATGATTGCTCAAAGGACACCCCTCCCAACACTGTATGAGCATTCCTAATATTCCACACTAGTTATACATGTTAATTTTTGTCAACCTAGTGGGTGTTTTAATTTTCATTCCCCGATAAAGAGTGAAGCTTCCTTCAAAATATCCAAGCTCTTCTAAGTGAGCTAGAAGTTTGTTTGCCTCTCATCAACCAATTAAGACAAAGTGTTCCTGAAAGGGAGTATAAGAGTCAGAGAAAATTAAAGCTAGGACTAAGAACTACTGCCAAAGATAGATCAATCCGAGATGAAGGTAAAAACATACTTGAAGTTACAGGCAGGAGGAAAGCATGAATGATTTTAAAAATCATTTTGCTGAGCACCTTTTAGACCTTATCTAATTAATACATATAGGACCAACAGGGAACTACAAGGTATTATCAGTAAAATTATAATCAAAATCAGTGCCTGGACACAAACTGGACCCCAGGTCTCTAGTTCTTTGTGATGGCATATACATGATGAAAACTTGAGGGCATTTGTTGTAGGTTCTATAGCATTCACCTGGGTAAAGGAAATGTCTCTAGTAGAAGGTGAACATCTTGAAATTTGTAGTTCAATTTCTTAGTCTAAAGCAAGGAGATGGGCTTCTGTGCTGGGGGAAACAGTTTAGACTCAGATAAACCCAGTGCTGTCAGTTACCACTGCGAGGCTCTCCAAGTCTCAATTTCTTCAGCATTGCTACAGGACTGAAAGTAACAACTATTTCTAGTCTATTGCCAGGTACACCTAAATAGGTAGCAAATTCATGATTATATCAAAATAATTGAGCAACCACTACATTCCAGGCATTGTTGCAAATCCTGGGCCCACGGCAGTGAATATTAGATCAAGTTCTACCTGTCAAGAAGTTCACATTCTGGGACAAACAATGAACAAATAATCCACTATGTGGAATGTTAGAGGATAAATGCAGCTGAGAAAATGAATTCGGTGTAAAAGGGATAGAAATGGAAGGGGGTCCCCTGGAATCAATGCTGCTTTCTCCTCCTGCTCATTGCCAGGCTGCCCTGGGAATCATCTTCTGAGTCACTGGAGTTCTAACCTTCTTGAACTGTGAAATGGGAAAATAATAATAGAATTGTGTGTGGTTTTATTTACTTGCTAAAATTAAAGTTTAGACAGTCTTTCCAAACTTTGTTCAGAACTTTCACTTTAAAGCAAAGAGAGAAAGGCACGACTGCTTACTGATTTAACATTAACAAAGTAGTTGAAAGTTGTCCAAAATTATACAGATTTTAGTGGAGTGAAAAAGGACTTGAATGAAAAAAAAATGTATATATAAACAAAAATATGTAAGGTACAAAAAGCAATGCATGGAGACTCTCAGGAGGCCTGGAATTTAGGCTCTATTCTTCCATAGCCAAGGAATCACACAACCTCTCTGTGCTGCTCAGCCTTGTCCATAGAATGATGCTATGAGGCCATCAATCCTACAGTTATTAAACCCCCTGATACGACTACTCCTTCCTTTGTTTTTTAGAACTGAAACACTGATGGTTGCATTTATTTGTTCTGATTCATTTTTTTTTTAAATCTGATGTTGGACTGTAACAATTTCCTTTTTAGCTATAGAAGTCTCCCTTGCAAAGAAATGCAGTTCCTGCTCAGCCTCTCTCTTTTTCTGGAACAGGGTATGAGTTAGAAAATCTTAACAACTCAAGGGCTCCCAGGACTTGGAAAAAGCTCTGAATCATTTCTTTCTTGTCATTGCTTCATACTTCACTTCTTTGGGTGATGCTATGAAAGCACATTGTTCACTATTCTGGTAATGTTAAAATGATCAACAACACGATATTGGGAAATCACCAAATTATTTCAAAGGTATTCACCTTTGAATGTTAGAGCTGCAAGCCAAGACTTTTACTTAAACATACATTTTTATCCTGTTTGATGCTCTTGATATAATTAATCTGTTATAGTTATAAAAACAAAGTTGCATTTTTTCCCAAACACCTTTATGTTCATTTCAGTTTGTCAAGAGGTAAGTATTAGAAAACCATCTTTTAAAAACAATGTTGCAGGGTGCCTGGGTGGCTCAGTCCTTAAGCATCTGCCTGCAGCTCGGGTCATGATCCCAGGGTCCTGGGATCGAACCCCATGCTTCTCCCCCTCCCCCTGCTTATGTCCCCTCTCTCGCCATGTCTCTCTCTGTTAAATAAATAAATAAAATCTTAAAAAAATAAAAATGATGTTGCTTTAAAATTGTTTTACTAGGTCTAGTTTTTCAATGTCATCTTTTGTTTCACATGAAAGAAAAACTTTTTGCTTTATTAAAAAAAGATTTTTTTTACTAGATGGCTTCAGTTTTTGTTTTTAATATTCTTGCGAGCACAATCAGATGGCAAAGTACGCTGACACAATGCCTTGTATTTATTTGACTCCCTCTCCAATATAAAGCCTTAAGAGAAAACGTAGCCCAGAATTCTGCAAATAAGTTTGTTTTCTGAGATTCTGCAGAGAAGTGATCCGAGAGATAGTACTGTTACCCAGTGAATGGAGACTAAAATTCCAAAGATGAATTCCAGCACTTGCAAAAAAAAAAAAAAAAAATCAGAAGCATTTGCTGTTACGGTTTCTTCTTAGTGTTAAGTTCTCCATAGAAACATTAGTTGTGACAGAGCTTGAAACCACCCCAGAGCCCTCAGAGAACTGACCAGCTAGAATGTGAACTTAGAACGACTTTCCTGCAGAGCACCTATTTATGCTTTAATCTTAACTTTCTACCATTAACAGATATTTACCTATTACATCTGTGACATCCATCTAATTGTTGATGGCACCAACTTGCTTGTGTTCAAACTCCCCCTTTATCACTTATTGATGTGGACGTCGCTGAAGTTCTCCTCTCTTCTACCTCTGCCACAGCCCCTTCTCAAATCCAGCCCATGATCTGCCGCAAGATTCCCTGAACTCCCTGAACTCCCTTTCATCAAACAGCTCCCATACCCCAAACACTAAGGGCTTCCCAATGCCCCTGTGATAACATCCAGTCCCTTTAGCCTGACGTCAGTGTCCTCCATGATCTGATTCCCGCTCCAAAGCTCCCACCCTCACCTACCCTCATGCCCTACCCCTTGACCTTTGTCCTTGCGGGTCCTCCTGGAGCCGACATTGTGCATCCAACTCTTACCCACTCTTCAAGGTCTACCCCAAAGCACACTTTCAAATCCTATCACCTTCCTTGACCATTCTAAGTTTATGAGTTCCCCCTCATCTCTAAAGAGATAGAATACACACTTTTGGGGGGCCTTAAATCTTCCACTCACACTGAACACTGATATGTGTAAGTAAGAGCGTCACAGTTAGTACTTAATACATGGAATCACAGAGACAGAATGAACTTTAAATTATCCTCCAATTCGGCATCTTCCCAAGTGTAGAAAATTCTCCTTGAACATATTCTGGCCTGGGTGAACACTGACTGACAGGGTGCTGTAACCTAAAATGTGGCTGTTTCACCCTTGAATTGCTCTTATAATTAGAGGCATCTCCTCTTTAGGGAAGAAAAACCCCACTCATTCCATTCCAGTCAGGTGAGAATCTAATGCTTCCAGAAAAAGGAAAAAAAGGGGGGGGAGGGGAAGAGAATCTGAGTGAGAGTTCCCTGAGTCCAGCCTATTCTCTCCCAGAACCACTCTAAGCACGGTCTGCCGATCTGCCCCGTCAGCATCACCCGCAGCTTGTTAGAAATGCAAATTCATGGGCCCCAGCCCACACCAATTGAACTGGAAACTCTGAGGGTGGGGCCCCAGAATCGGAGTTTCAAGGGACTGCAGTTTCAAGGGACCCCTATGAGATGGAAAGCAGCTGGCCATGGTCTGAACCTTTGCATACTTCAAAAGAGTGTCACTATGCACTTTCTCTCCAATTAAATAATTTCGCAACTCTACCTCAATTATTTTATTTTGCCAGTACTTGGTCACCCATGCATCCCACGTTTGACAAACAGGTGAGGGCACAGGTATAGAACAGTCCCACATGCCTCCAGACGTTATCACTATGGGGCACAAAAAGAAAAAAAAATAACAGCTCCAGGGGACCGCGTTAGAAAACCCCTTTTAAAAGAGCCACAAGCAGTTTAATTTCCTTTAAAGCTTCGCCGGAAAAGGTTTTTGTGGTGTGCGACCCCACCTGGGCCGGGCGACGGTTCCGTACCCTGCGGGGGTGGCGTGGAAGGGGAGCGCGCCGAAGGGGAGCCGAGGATGACTCGCAGTTGTGTTTTGAGCGGTTGCTTGGGTAGTGTTTATCTTGCTCTCCCAACACACATGCACACACTCTCAGTTTCTTGTCATGAAAGGGGAACCCTGCATTTTGTAGACCAAGAGTCGCAGAAGCAACTTTCGAAGAAAAAAGAAAAACAAAAAGAAAGAAAGAAAGAAAAAGGCACCGCGCAATCTCCCCAGAGGGCAAAGAACCGCGCTGTTTGTTCTGTAACTGAGCAACACCCCGGGCGACCGGCGCTGCCTCTAGCTTCTGCGGTTTTTCTAGCTCTTCCCCGCGTGGGTTCACTTCCACCCTCAGAACCCTCCAGAAGTGAAAAATCAGGCGGGGCGGCCGCAGCCCCCAGGCGGCCAGCGGAGCGCGGGCCCCAGCTGCAGGGGATCCCGGCCCAGCGTCGCGCTCGGCCCCTTCCTCCGCCCCGGCGGGTAAAGGGGCGGGCTCACGCGGCCCGGCCGCTGCGCCCCGCTTGCGGTAGGGGTCGCTGCTACGCGGCGCGCGCTTCCACCGCGGAGAATAACGGGGCTCGGGCGGCAGGAGAAAGGAAACCTGCCCGGGACGCGGCGGCGGCCGGGACGGAGCGAGGGACGGGAGTTCACTTTTGCTCGGGTGGGAGCGCGCGGCGGCTGCAACGAGCGCCGACCGGGGAGCACCGAGGGAGCGGGTCGCCCATCTCGGGGCGACCAGGGGAGGGCAGCGAGAGGCCGGATACGAGCGCCCCGGAGGGGCGCGGAGCGGGCGAGCCTGGCCAGCGAGCGGAGCCGCGGGGGGCGCGCCTCGGGCGGGCCCCCGGAGCCGCGCAGGATGCCCCACGAGGAGTTGCCGTCCCTGCAGAGACCCCGTTATGGCTGTAAGTACGCTGGGCGCGCGCGGCTCCCGCCAGCCTTCGGGAGCCCCCGCCCCGGGGAACGCGTTGGAGAAGCCGAGGGAGCCCGGTACGCGCCGCGGAGGGAGCGGGAGGGCAGCGGCTGTGTGGTGGCCAAAGTTGAGAACTGAAGTTGCAAAAGGTAGTGAGCAGCGTCCTCCCGTTCTCCCCACAAACTCCTGTTCCTCAGCTGGTAACCCCAGTCCGTCGCCCAGAAAACCCCACTGGGGAGCGTGGGCAGCGCTGGGTCGCGCTCTGGGACAGGCCAGGTTGGGGGTTTAGGGGTATCAGGTGAGGAGCCCTCGGAGCTCCCGGCCGCTGCCGGTTGGGGCCAGGGGGTGGCGTAAGGGACCGGATTGTTCCGACTCCGGAGGAAAGTTTGTGGTGGCTACAGGTGGGCACCGCACTTACGGTGCCCACGCACTCTACCAGTGGCGAAGTCGGTTCTCCTGGAAAGGCGGGGGTCTGCTTCTACCCTGCTCCCTCGGACTGCACCTGAACCTGAGCAGCAAGAGCCAGTTTGCACCCCACTGCCGTGAATCCCATACTGGTGCTGCTGAAGGGGGCAGCGCCGGGCCCAACCCCTCTCTTCCCCACTTCCCTGTGACCCTGTCGGGACGCAGAGCTAGGCTCCCCAGGATCCGGGCCGAGGCCGCGGGACTGGACCGAGATCGTGTAGATTACCCAGCCAGGGGCTGCCATTCGGGAAGAGGTTGCTTCGGCGGATCGTGAGTGGATGGAGCCAGATTAGCACCACGTGGCTTCTTGCACAGAGTTCAGAGTCTTCACTAAACGTGTGCCAGGAAGTATTTCCTTTAAAACAAACAAAAAGTTGGCGCTCTGTCTCCAAGGTTGGCCCTGTCAGTGAACCGATGGCCGAAGACCACTGGTTAATCTTTTGCCCTGGCTGGCCTTGTGACAGAGGAATCAGGTTTGGGTTAAAGTGGTGGTACCTGCTGCAGGGTTGTTACGTGTGTTTGGGAGGGTGGGGCGCCTGGTGGGGAGGACCACCGACTTGCCTAATTAAAAAAGGGGAGTAACTTGTGTAAGTTCTTCCTCCGCACTAGGCTGGGAATGGAGTGTCAGAGATAGGAAGTTCGTTTTTGCCATGTGACCCTTTTGGTGTCAGGCAATGAGGAAGAAGCCCGAGGAGCCAGCTGCAGCCTCTGTACGGTAGTGAAATGCACAGAACAGTTCACCAGGACCCAGTTCTTTGCAGCCTTGATTGCACTTTAGTAAACCACAGAGAAAACTGAGCTCCTTGGATTCAGGGAGGCATGCTGTGGTCATTCAATGTGTGTGGTGTCAACCACAGGTTGGTGAAAGTCTTTTATTTATGTGACAAGCTCCCAGAACATATGGGAGCTTCCCTGCATCAAATTATAAGATGACCACGAAGTCTGGAAACGAGGCACATACACACCAAGAAATGGCTTTTGATACCACATTTTAAAGCATGGTGTGTTTGGTGGGTCATCTCTTACTAGTTCAATATGCTTATGCAAACTTGCAGTGAATGAAGGGCATTAATGCAGCATCTTCACCCGCAGAGACAGATGGATCTGTGATGTTTGCTTGATTTTATTTTTTCTGTTGAATGTACCTGTGGACTTAGCATACTCCAGAGGCAGCAACCAAAGAGGTTTAGATCATACAACCACAAAGAACACTCCACCTTGCCACTTTCTCTGGAAATCATTGTCCAGCTTTTCTCACGAGTTTGGTGTGATGGAGTTGGAATCACTCCCGTTTGCTTTCCCCTAGCTCACGAAGTGCTTTGGTCATGGAGTAAAATAAACATGTTTGATGGTTTCCACACTTCATGGTCACCCTAAAATATTAAGGCTTTAATAAAGTAGCCTGTTAAGTTCTTAAAATGAGCATTTCTGTAATTTGCTACCAGGTTCATAGTTTATTTTTTAAAAAATCTAATTGAACACACTCTAGTGTTAGCCAGTGTTAGGTAACACATACTATTCATGCAAAAGGAGACTGTGTGATGTATCAGAACACATAATTTTGGTAGCGGATTGATTTTTTTGGGGGGGGACCCTCCGTCAACACAACACTGCAGATATGCTGTGAGCTTTTCACAGGAAGTCTGGGGAAGGTAAATGCACTGTCCTTGCTGAGTTTTTTAAAGAATTGTGCTTTTCTTGTCTGTGGGTTTGGTAAGTACAGGTTCCATAAGACCTTGAACTATACCAAACAGGCTTTATCCCTGACACTTAAAAATAAGTAAAGCCCCAATATATGCCCCATACATGGTTGTTATTTCAGTTCTAGTACTGGACATTCTGAGTGAAAGGTATTTGTGACTGGGCTTTGAAAACTTTTTAGTAGTTGGTATTAACTGTTAAACTTGTTTTGGGTCTGGTCTTCTGCCATCTCTGCTCCCCTTGAAATGTTATTTAATTCAGTAATTCTTGGACAAAGTAAATTCATGGACCTCAGGGCTGTTACGGTATCTCTCTTCCCCACCAGGCTGAGTGTAAAATACCACATAGTAAGTTGTACTTGAGGGATTTCTCAATGAGTTCTCTGTGAAGGCACCTTTCTGACAGGAGAGATTGCTGACGTCTTCCTGATTGGCACACTGGAGCACTGAATTAAAATTAAATAGATCATTTCCTATTTAATTCCTGCTTTTTCCATTTTGGCCACATTCTCCTGCAACCTTTGAAATTACTTTGTGTCCTGTTACTACAGAACAAAGCTGAAATAACTGCTCGTTCACGCCGTGCTGCAGGAAAGAAGTGGCAAAAGGTAAAGGTGGAAATTACTTTAGTAATTTAGACATAACCGGAATATTATATGATAGACTATCATAACCAGAGTATCTTTCCCCTACATTCAAAACCAAATTTATTTTTAAATATTTTATTTATTAATTTGAGAGAGAGAGAGAGGGCATGAGCAGGGGGAGGGGCAGAGGGAGGGAAAGAAGCAGGCTCCCCACTGAGCACAGAGCCAGATGCCAGGCTCCATCCCAGGATCCTGAGATCATGACTTGAGCTGAAGTCAGACGCTTAACCCACTGAGCCACCTGGGTGCCCCCAAACCAAACTTAAATGACACTTCAGCTTAGGCATGATTTGCAAATAATTTTTTTGCTGTTGTAATGAACTATGGCGAATTAACCAAAGTAATGCTCAAAACACGTTGCCGTCATGATCTGCCAAAAGTTTTCTTCCAGTTACTTGAGAGTTAAGAATACCACTGATAGCAAAAGAAGGGCTTTGTGATTAGACTTAGATGCTCTCACTCAGAATTGATAATTCAGTCAACATTTAAGTGCCTACTGTGGGTGGGTAATCAATGTGCTTTTAGCAAGAACTGTGGTTATTTGCCCTGGCAAAACTTCTCTCATGAGAAACATTGTAAAACTAATAGTGATCAATGTTGCACTGTTTCTTTTAAAAAGTGCAACCTGGGCCTAATAGAAGGTGTATGTATGTATGTATGTATGTATGTATGTGTTGGGCGGGGGCTGTTCTGGCTGATGCTTTGAGTTTTTTCTCTTCTTCTTCTTTTTTTTTTGGATAATGCTCCTGTTTGAACGACGAGATTTTTCCAAATCGCCTGGTGACTGGAGTATTGGGGTGGGTAATGAAACTAAACCTCTTAACCCTTTCTCAGTACTAATCTGAGAAGAAATCTGAGTTCTGAACAGGTTAAATTCAGGTGTTACATCTGTTTAGTGCATCTTGGCTTCAACATTACATCAATGTTTTCATGTGACTGCAAAAGATTTAAGATATCTGCTGTGTTACCATGTGATGCCGTCGTTAGAAAGTCAAGTCACTCCTTCATGTGCTATTGTTTCGGTTGAGTTTTTCAAAAGGATCTTCAAGGTCAACAACTAAAGTGTTATTTTAGTATGCCTTTAATTGTAATTATACATGTTAGCCAAAATGACTTCTTTGGGAGAGTTTAAGCTTGTAATACCAAGTTTGTTTTAGAATTTAGTATTTAGGGTGTTAGCTAACCCCTTTTTTCTCTAGGGAAGCATTGGTTTGCTGTTGCCCCTTACCCTCCCACTATGCAAGCTTTTTAACAGCTCATTTTACTTAAAAGTCTAGTATACAGACAGATCTAACGCACCAAGTCTTCGTGGTAACCAAAGGAGAAACAAAGGCTGTTCAACCTCTGATCTGATAGTCAGGTGTAGTCCTACAGGGCAGGCAGCTGGGGGAATTAAGGTTAGTGAGCTTTGCAAGAGCTGATACTTTTCATATACAACTGTTACCATCTGCTCATTATTACCTTAGTGCCCGTGTTTCGCCATTTCACAAAGGAGCTGAAATCCATGATAATGTCTCAAGGCCACACGGCTGGCTGGTGACAGTGGGAACTTGAAAGCTGGTGCTATCAGAACCTGAGGGCTCCTCTCACTGGCTGTTGTCAATTTGTCTCCCCTGAATTACTCGGAGGGGTTTCACCTCTTTCTGTTTCAGGTGTTGGCCATGATTTTCTCAAACTCCAGAAACGTGTAGCTATTTGGATAGTGTGCTCTCTTAAAAGTAGATGCATAGCATTGTCTAAACTGGATTTTGCTTCCTCCCCGCCCCCAAGGAAAGCATGGAAGAATACATGAACTTTTTATAGAGTACATCCAGGCTTCATCAAAGGGCTTTATGTATGTGTAGAGACATCCCATCTCCCTGCGAGGCACTGAAATGAAAGAAAGGTTTTTCCATAATACAGTGGTATGCTCCAGTGATTCCAAATGGGATAATCTGTAAAACACACTTGATTACGTATACTGGCCGTGCCTTAAAATCTGGAGTTTATGAGAAATCAGGCCGAAGCTTGCAGTGAGGTGACCGACTAGTGAGCCAGGACTTTTTCCACTTAACTGTTCTAGTTTATTTTTCTCCCTTGAAGGGCAGAATGGTGGCCGTGAAATGGCAAAAGCTTTGGAGTTAAGTAGATGTGGGTTTGAATCTTGACTCCAGCACTGGGTGCCTGTGTGCCCTTGGGTT